GTTCTGTTCCAAATGCCGTCCTCAACATCCCGTACTTGGTAGAACACACCATCTGTGTCCTTGCCAAGAACATACTTGTCCAGTACAGCAGAACGTACTAGCATCCTTGAAACATCCTGTGTGTGTTTGTGTGTCTTCGTTTGCGGCTTTGACCTCTCGGTGTGCCCGGCAAAGCATTTGTTGCATTATTCAAACATGAAGAAGGGGTAGAGTAAGACTCTGGTAGGGGGTGTCTTGCTCTTTAAATTGGACACATATGTCACATGTGTCATTTCAATTGGACCTTAGTTGTATTTTGGTTCTGTATAAACAACGTGAACCGAATGACAATTTGGTTGATATTTATAGAGTTTTCCACTGATTGCACTTTTGGTTCAAACTCACTGGACAGTAAACCAACTGGAGCTAGGCTCAGTCTTAGGCTCCTACAGCTTTTATTTACAGAGATTTTAATTGGAGTGGGGAATATGATCTATTTTTATGTGCTTTGACACAACAAATAAACTGATCAAAATATTCCTAAAATCAAATCTATCAGGGTGACTATGGATAATTCTTTATAATCCAAAACATTCCCACCGTAGGGTTTCGAGTGTACTCACAGATGTAGTAATACTCTCTGCCGGGGCGGAACTCGAAGCCCAAGGAGAAGGGAGTGAAGAGCTGGAACTTCTCCGAGAACTTGAGTGGTCCGTTGGGCGACAGGGGCCTGTTGCACTCCCAGCGCTTGAAGCCCTTAGCGGTGTGGTCACAGGAGCTGTAGCCATCGTAGTTCACCATGTAGAGGATGTAGCGCTCAGCCCGGTCATCAGAGACTGGGCTGACGTAGTGGGGGCAGTAGACGTCCAGGTAGTCGTTGATGCAGACATCGATGTGGTAATCACCTCGGTAAAATCTAGGGAAAAGGAGAGAGCAGAGGATTATAGAAATCCAGGGTCAATTTGAACCAGAACCCCCCAAGAACCCACCCGTTCCAGCAGGACCAAAGCCATTTATCGTCGTTGGTGCTGAGCCGAGAAGAATGTAACGTGAGGAAGTGTGGGTTTTCTGTCACAAAGGTGGTGTTGGACTCAGCTGGGTCAAAGCTGGGTCGCTGAGAACTTTCACCCACAGATTAAGACCTGAACGCCAGCGAGTCTGGGAGGAAGCCATAACATCAGCCACCTGCAGCGTCCAGAAGACGTGTTTCCATGAGTTGTACCCAGAACAAGTCAAAACATAAAGTTTAAACTTCCTTTTCTTCTTTTGAATGTTAAAAGTTTAATCATCAATTTGCTCATTATAAATGTGTTTTAATCAAATGAATGACTATTATGCTTTGGGTAATTATAATGGATTAATGAATCTAGGGCTGCAACAACGAATCTATTACTAAAAGCGTTGGCAACGAATTGCGTCATCGATTCGTTGTGTCGCACAACTCTTCCAAAAGCACCCCCCCCCCCTTCCCGCCCGCCGTTGCGCGCAGACCAGAGCAAGTCAGATCAGCGCGAGGGAGAGCCGGCAGATCAGCGCGAGGGAGAGCCGCAGATCAGCGTGAGGGAGAGCCGGTAGCGGCAGATCAGCGCGAGGGAGAGCCGCAGATCAGCGCGAGGGAGAGCCGCAGATCAGCGTGAGGGAGAGCCGCAGATCAGCGTGAGGGAGAGCCGGTAGCGGCAGATCAGCGCGAGGGAGAGCCGCAGATCAGCTCGAGGGAGAGCCGGCAGACTTGCGCTGCTGCGAACCGGTTCCGCATTGTTGCACAGCGATCCAGGCAGCTGCTTCCAGCGCACGGTCCATTCTCAAAGTGGCGCAACCAAAAAACTATAATTAGCACATGATCGTTCTTGTCTGCACATGTTCTCTATTTTCTGTCTTATTTGTGCCTGAAGCGCGCTACTGCGGAGCTCATCACCTGTGCTGTGGTGATGTCACCTCACGCAGCATCGAAAACGCGCTCAGCGCTTTTCGGTCAGGAGATCCCTTTGATCTGCTCGAAAGTAACTGATGAGGTGAAAAGGTAAGAATCCAGGCAAAAGATTTTCTGGAGAATTAAGAGGAGATGCAGGAAGATGAGAGACAGACAGGACAGGAAAATAGTTCAATAAAAACAAGAAAACAAAACAAAGTGTTGAAAAGTAAAATGTAGGTAGATTTATCTCCACGACACGTTTTTACCAGTAAAAAACAATAAGTTATACACACATCATATTTATACATCTGATACAATTCAGATCACCTTCAAAACTCAGTCACACACCCAGGGCCGTTTCAAGACATTTTGGGGGCCAAGGCAAAATGATCCCCCATAACTGGGCTCCCCAGAAGCCTCTGTGTAATTCATACCCTCTCCAGGAGTGTTAGTTATACAGTGTTTATAAAAGCCCCTCAGACATTACTGACATGTTCTAATATTATCAGATGAAAAACTAAATTATCAGACATGCTGTCTCATCTGCTTCTTTTATAAACTTGCAAAAAGTAACAAAACCATTTGAAAGCCACTATTTGTGGATTCTCTGAAAGTTTCCATGGAGTGTGTGACAACTTATTTTTTCATTGATCCTATCGTCTAATCTCACAGCTGAAACAAGCATCCTTAATAATCTGTGCACAGGAAGCGTACCGATGCTGTAGTAAAACAAAAGGTATAATAATTTATTATTAATAAAACCTTGTTGCAGCACTAAAGCAGAAAAATTAGATTTTGCATTAAATATGCAAAATATTTACATATGAATTGTTTTAGAGCCCTTTAATTGGCAGAATCTGATATTAATTTAGTTCTTACAAAAAATGGGTCCCAACGTGGTTTGTGTGGCGTTGCCATAGTGTGACGTCATAGGCACAGATCCCCTGTCCTCTTGTTTGGAAATGGAAATATGGTCACCCTACATTAAACAAACTGTCCACCCAGGCTTTTGCACTGCACAGAGACGCTTCGCTGCCTACGACTGAACGTCAGTTGAGAGTCAGTCTCATGCAGAATGACCAATGAAGAGAGGGCCTCAAGTTAAGACCCTCTCCTCATTGGTCAGTCCACACGAGGTGGGTCAAAGGTTACTCTGGGCGGGTTACGTGTTGTCAGGCATTCAAGTATTGAGTATATTTACTGCATATTACAGTAAAATATTCTGTATGTGACCACATTATGGTGATCCTTGGGTCGTGATGATGGAGCCCTTGAGTATTGTTGCCCAGGGTACAACAAAGTGTTAATCTGGCCCTGGTTCCGCCGTCACATTCCCGCAGAAACTGGTTGATCACACCGGGGCCAGACTACTAGCATGTGGTTTTATAACCACAATGTCCTCAGAAGCAAAAACGCTTTTAAAAGGGAGGGAGGAGTCCTAACTGTTGCTGCAGGCGTGTTGTGTGAGAGTGCAGTTATATACTGGTTAATATATTTTTGGGTTCAGTTGCTTTCATGTGGCCTAATGTGAGTCTATTTGGGATCATTGGAATGATCAGCAGCATTTCTTGATGTGACTTTATGGCAGTTGCCCAGGGCATCATCGCAAGGAGGATGGCATTCATTTACTTTTGTTTTATTTGGTATTTTTTCAGTCATTTTTGGAAATAGTGATCAATTTTGATTAATTCACAGCCTATGTTTAATTACATTTAAAATAAATTTCAACAGATGAGATCAAACAAAACAGATGAGAATTGCCCTTAAGCTGTTTAACTTGGACCAAGCATTTTAGGTCACAGATAGATGTAGCTTAGGGTCTCTGTCTATACACCTTATAAGACAATTTAGGTGATGGCATGTTGTTTTTCTGCTATTGAACTGTTTTCTAATAATGTTGTGTTAAATAAAGAGAAGGAAGGAGAGAAATAACGTTTCCCTAGCAGTTTTTAAAAATTTCCCCATGTAATCCGATTAATCGATTAATCGTGTCGAGACCCCATCCGATTAATCGATTATCCAAATAATCGTTTGTTGCAGCCCTAAATGAATCCATACTTAAATAATGTTTGAGGATGTTTGTTACTGACCTTCACACACACTCAAGCACACAAACACTCACACACACCCACACACAGATTCTCACAGTAAACTCCAAAACACATTTGCTGACGCACACGTTTGCTTTGAGAAGAGAAAGGCTTTTGGTAGGTTTCAGTCTTATGATTTCAGTTCGTGCTTGACAACAAAAGAGAGAGGACCTGAATAAACGCTGAAAGGGGGGAGCCGGTTGGCTCGTTTCTCCCCCCCCTCTCACGCTGTTCCTGCCAAGCCAGGCAGAATAGCTGAATCGCAACTTCTAACGCAGACTCATTACCGAGTCTTTTGATTTCTGAGTGAATTAACTTAAGAAAGCGCATCGACAAAACGCTTTACCATCAACGTGTACCGAGGGCAACTCTGGACCGGTTCCGTTCGACGCCTACGTCTCCCCTGTCAGCCGTTGGTGTCATCTGGATGAACCACCACCATCCTCCACGGCCCGGATCCGAAAGAGGGTCCACAAGAGTTCGGTGAGACAGAGCACGGTGTTTAGCGTTTGATGCAGTTCTCTGATAAGACCTAATGGGCCATTCCCATCTGTACCGGGTCGGCCCGGGCCGAGTAGCGTAGGTTGTTTACATATCTGGGTGGCCTGGTATTTTTCCGGGCCAACCAAGGCTCATTCTCAGCGCTCTTCTCGAGCGGGTCTGCTTCAGGCCGACCAGGGCCAACACACCCACTGCTGACAGCAAATTGACACCTTCCATTAGAGCAAGCCTCTGATTGGTGGGTAGAATCAGCCCACATGGGCTTAAGGCAAGGATGTGTGGAATCAACCGGGCCAGGCTGGGGCCGACCAGTGCTACCCGGCCCGGGCCGACCCGGTACAGATGGGAATGGCCCATAAGTTTATCCAAACCATCACTTCACTCAGACACCTGTTTCTTCCTGAAGCAAAATCAGACTCACACACGCATTCATATCACAACATTCTCAATCTTCATAAATTCACCACAAGGTCTATTTGATCATATCAACTGTTAAAGATTGTCCCACAAGTTGCCAATGTTGATTGTTATTTCCTGTTTGTCAATTTCAAAATCATTAGTTTAATTTGAAGAATTAAAACTTTTAATTGTCAAACTGGTTTCCTCATTGTACTGAAACACAGACACACAGAAATTATCGTCAGTTTATCGATGAAAACAAACTTTGAGTCTTCTTAACAATATAAAATTTGGTTATTGATTTATTAAAAATTAATATTCCGAATTAATACGTAGCATGGTTCCTCTTTCATAAAAGAGCCTAAAACCACAACGCTACAATAGGGCTGAGCTAAACCAGTTTCTCCTTACATGAATCATGCTCGTGTCTACCATCATTAAGGTGCTAATCCCTGGTTAGCATGAGCCTTTAGCAGCTTTAAGATGATCCCTCTGCAGGATGAGCTTTTCATTAGTCAAATAGGATTGTTTTGATTGATATGTTTGATGGAAGCTTCCATCTGGGAAAATGAGGTTTGTTCTCAGGCTGCATCCATACCAGATGCCTGGTGTTTACTGTTAACCGAGTGGACAAGAGGCAGGGTGGGGTTTGTGGGGGTGCAACGAGCATATTCACCAAGTATATGTGTTCCTGTAGGGAGTGATCAGAGATTCCCACAGGCGACGGATAAGGTCGCTTGTCTGCAGCTTTTAGCCGAGACGGATCCGACCTGAACAGCCAGTGTCTCTGTAGCTGCTAATGGCCTGTGGTTCTGTATCACTGACATGCTGCAGATGTCTTTAATACTCCACCTCTGTTCATTGACACATTGAGGGCTGTCGAGGGACTCTGGGTGCTGGATCATGCAGCAGACTGATGATCCAAATCGAACCACAAAGGGGGGGGGTTACAGCCTGACCCGTCACAGATGAGCGATTGGCTGCAGAGTGATGAGAAAGCAACAATCAGCTGAT